ATATCTATATCTATATCTATATCTATATCTATATCTATATCTATATCTATATCTATATCTATATCTATATCTCTATCTCTATCTCTATCTCTATCTATCTATATATCTATCTATCTATCTATCTATCTATCTATCTATCTACACACACACACACACACACACACACACACACACACACATATACATACATACATACATACATACACGCACATATACATGGTTGGTTGAAAATGCCAAGTATTCATTGTACCTATTATTTTTTGAGAATATTATTCTATCAAAATGCCTGGATACTAAATCCTATTATTTATTTATTAAGGTATTTACTCCAACGTATATCCTTCCCTTTCTTCTGGGAGTTCCAGGCACTATACAAACAGGCATCCTTTAGTTTTCTCCCCAGAGAGAAGATATTTGAAGTGGACAGTGTCAAAGGCAAAGGCCTGGCTCTTAGGTTGCCCAGTCAACTTTGTGGTCAAGCAGGGAACTGAACCTGGGTCTTTGCTGTCCAAACTGAACTATTTAATTGCTATACTGGCCTTCATGAAACATCTTAGATCTCTTTTCTAAGTAAAGATTGCATTGCAAGTCCTGTAATTTAAGTTCTGCAGAAATTTACAAAACTCTGGAATTTCGTGGTCTCCTAACCATTCCCCTCTCCTTAGGATGGCCAAAAGTAGCTTTCTGAAATCATGGGCTTTTCTAAATTTGAGGACATCGTTCGCACTCGCATCACAGCCTGACTATGCAGAGAATGCTTTTTGTCTTTTTCGTAGAGAGTTGAAGCCAGCTGTGAAGTGTTTTGAGTAAAAGCAAATGATCCATCAAAGATTTCTTAAGTCTTCTATTACAGTGGACAGTGTCTAAAATAAACGGTATGTAACAAGGTTCTGGTGTCATATGTGCACGGAACTTCTCAGCTGTCTGGATGGCCATCTTTATCGGTTACACTTTGTATATAGTGTGTCCTGGTATGAGATTTCTTCTTAATTTAGTGGCTGCAGTGGGCCATGGGAAAGGATTGAATTACACACAATATAAACCATATTCTAGAGTTCAGCATCTGTCCAAATTCCAGATTCTTTTCATATAAATTACAATGGTAGGAAGCCTTTATAGGGACATGGTGGCTCAGTGGCTAAGACGCTGAGCTTGTCAATCAGAAAGGTCGGCAGTTCGGCGGTTCAAATCCCTAGTGCCGCGTAATGGAGTGAGCTCCCATTACTTGTCCTAGCTTCTGCCAACCTAGCAGTTTGAAAGCACGTAAAAAATGCAAGTAGAAAGTAGGAACCACTTTGGTGGAAAAACAACAATGCTCCGTGTGCCTTTAGTTATGCCAGCCACATGACCACAGAGAACATCTTCGGACAGTGCTGGCTCTTCGGCTTTGAAACGGAGATGAGCACCGCCCCCTAGAGTTGGGAATGACTAGCACATATGTGCAAGGGGAACCTTTACCTTTACTTTTATAGGAAGCCTTTATTTTGAAAATCTAGCTTTTCACTTGTGTTTTGTAGTGAATTATTCAGCTTCTTATGTCAGATAAGGTTGTGATACCTGCAGTGGTTAAATGCAGCACTGCAGGCTACTGCTAGATCANCTGTTTAGAGAGGGCTGTAAAGTGGTATGTAAGCTAATGATAATAGGCAGAAGATTTTAACCACCAACCTAATACAAATTAGGGGCATTTGATGCTATAATGTAATTCCATTCTTTCATTGCTAAAATCCTAACAAGACTAAGCACGCACTATCTTCAGAACACAGTTTTGATAAACTTTGCTGTTGCAATGAAATCTACGAACCTGCAAATGAATACCACTAGCAATAGACTTACATACCACTTTACAGCCCTCTCTAAACAGTCAGCATATTGCCCCCAACAATCTGGGTTTTTCTTTTACCCACCTCGAAAGGATGGAAGGCTGAGTGCCAAATGAGTGCACTCAGCTGGTCAGCAGACAGCTTGCAGTACTGCACTCTAACCACTGCGCCACCGTGGCTCATCTGTTGCTGTTATTAGATTTTGTATGATTTCACTGTCATTGAAGAGTTTTATTGAAAAGGTGAACATGAAGCACCAACATAGTTTTTGTCATGTTTAAAAGAAAATTAGCTCCAATCGAAATATTTTGTACCTGAAAACTCAATTCCAGTAGTGTCCAAGAGCAAACCCAGATTGGATATACATATTGTACTGATGATTAAAACAAGTAAACAATTGTTCCAATAGTCTTGATTTGTACAATCTGTTTCATCAACACACAGTTGCCTACCAAATAAAGCACAACAATATGCAACACACCCATATGAATTAGATTTTTTCCCATTGTAAAGTTTTAAAGCAAAAAGAGCAACTTTTCCAGCAGATACCTGCATCTTTTATTTGGCCTTTTTTTTATCCTCGTGCTCATAAATAAACCAATTTATCTGCATTAATAGCAGCAAGGATATTACTGCATTTCTATGCTGTCCTAGAAACAGATGTGGGGGGGGGGAGCTACATCACAACTTTTGGAACAGCTGGCTCCTTAAGATGTTTCTTAATATCAAATATATCTAATTAGAATAAGCCTGTTTCATTCCAAACTTTTTGCTCTACCTAGTTAATTTGTTGCAAATTAACTTTATGTTAATTCATTTTCCACATTTTTAATCTTTGAACTGAACTTCTGATTTGTTTTAGCTATGCAAAAAAAGAATCTGATCTGAATTGTGCTCTGGCAAAGCTTCGGGAATTTGAAGCTTCTCTAAATACAAAAGAAGCAGCCCTTGCTACAGCCCTTGGTGATAAAAAAAGTCTGGAAGGGGAGCTTGAGGACTTAAAGGATCAGTTTAATCAGGTAAATCATAAGCAGCTATATTTTCAAGCAGTTGTTTTTTTTTTATTCTTATTGTAGTGGATTTCATAATTGGTGTAATTATATACTTGGCTGTACAGTATATAATTTGGAAAATAATCTGCCAGTGCTATTAGACTGTTTTAATAAAGTAGTAGCAGCAACTATATATAGTGCATTCCTAATTATTTATATTCTCTGGTGCACTGCTTGGAGTGTCCAAGCAAGGGTTAAATTCTATTCCACTGCCCAAGGACTGGATTGAAAATCTTTGGTCACGACCTTTGGCTCCTTCCATCCTCATTTACAGTCCAAAGCCCATCGGACGTATTTACAGCCTTAGCTGAAAGAATTACAAGTACTAATTCCCTTAGCATAATTCTTTATTGTTTTACCTTCCTTTTTTAGTTAATTAGCCTTCTTTGTTTCACTGTCTTGATTGCCTTGCCCTAAGAAGCCGCATTTCGCTCCGGACGGAGTGGCGTGCTTCTCAGCCTTCTAGGTGGCCCGTCACCTCCACAGTATTGCTGCCCAGCTGCTCTTCACCAGCGGGACTGTCCGACACTTCGGTGGCCTGTCCAGCATTCGGGAGGCACATCTAAGGACTTCAGCAGCCGCACAGTGAAGAGATTGAACAGGAGCGGCCGTCCATCTGGTTCTCGCTGGGCGCGGCCATCTTAGAAAGCAACGGTGGCCATTTTGAAGGTGTTTTTTCCCCACCAAATTGCCGCTCATTGCTGCCGGAGCTCCAGGACCCAGCGGATCCACTTGACCTTCCTGCAGCAAGCTTCAGGCAAGTGCTTGGGCATTTGGAGGCCTTAGCGGCTGCCATCCTCCACAGACCTTTCCTCTACCAATAGCAAGTTCCACCTGCGGTCCCAACAGAGTCCTGCCCCTCATCCTGAACACAGCGCCTCAGCCTGAGGGAGTGCGTGGGCAGAATTCATCCATTTTCCTCCAGGCCTACAATTTCCTCAGACTTAGCTGTCGGTATCTCTGGCAGCATGGACCTAGATACCATTGCCGAAGCTCCTGAGCAAAGGCCCTCTACTGGGGTGGATAGGCCCTATAGCAGAAGGGCAGGCAGGGTGGCCAGGGAAGCTATAAAGGGATTAAGATGCCCTTACTCCAGGATGCTCTTACTCCAGGAAGGAGTCTGCAGAACAGGATAAGGTGGATGCCAGGTGCAAAAAAGCCATAGAAAGACAATTTTAAAGGGCACAGAGGCAAACCATCACAGTGACTCTGATCCATCGTGCGGATCCACCTGAATCCCTGGGGAGCCTTTCCCAACCAGCCCCTCCCCCATCCTCCTGCGGGGGAGAACCACAGGAGTTCTCAGACAAATCATATGGAGGGTCCAGGTCCCTTCCCCTTCTATTGGTGGGGATGCAGATCTGTTTGACTGTGGGGTAGTGGAGGAAGATGATTCTCCCCTTCCTTCTGTATCCTGTAGGCCGGCCTCATGTTCTACTTCCAGGGCGGGGACCATCTCTCACCTTGGCCTCTTTCTTTAGCAGGGCTTCCATTGCCTGGTTGCGTCAACTACTCACACATATTCCCCAAGGTGATACCAAGCTCCGCCAGGATGTTAACAAACTAATGGCAGCTCAATAGCAATAGCAATAGCAA